GGAGTGTTATTATATTTGTATATCAAGTAAATTGATGTTTCATGGTATTGCTGATACCTTTGAATGGGTTTAGCTATCAGCATATCTAAATTCCTTCTATTTTATAAATTCAATCATTTAAATCATTGAGGCCCCCCAGAAGAAGAACCTGCCTACTAAGGTTTCCATTTTTATTTTATTATTCTTCTTAATGTTTATTTTTGAGAGAGAGAGAGAGACAGAGCATGAGTGGGGGAGAGCAGAGAAGGAGAAAAACACAGAATCTGAAACAGGCTCCAGGCTCTAAGCTGTCCATGTAGAGCCTGATGTGGGGTTCAAACTCACGAACCATGAGATTGTGACCTGAGCTGAAGTCAGACTCTTAACTGACTGAGCCACCCAGGCGCCCCTCAGGTTTCTGTTTTTAAATGCGTACAATTTTTCTTTCATTTCTTAGTGCAGGAAAAAGTGTATTTTTTTTTTTTTTTAACAAGTTCCAGTTGACTCTCTGGTCTTTTCTCCTCAGAGCTGCCACTCACACACTGATGTGTTCAGTCAAGCAAGCAAGTATCCAGCACTTATTTGGAGCCAACATCATGCTATAGGTTTGGAATTTGGGATATGACAGTGAAAAAGTTGGTCTCTGAGAAGCTTAAGTTTTTTTTATTGAGGTAAAATTGGTATATAACATGATAGTAGTGTCAGGTGCACAACACAACAATTCAAGATTTGTGTACACTGCAAAGTCACTACAATACATGTACTTACCATCTGTCATCATGCAGAGAAACTTAGATTTAAAGAAATTTTTGTAATGTTTGTTTATTTTTGAGAGGGAGACAAGAGACAGAATGTGATCAGGGGAGGGGCAGAAAGAGAAGGAGACCCAGAATCCAAAGCAGGCTTTGAGCTGTCAGCACAGAGCCCGACGCAGGACTCAAATCCACAAACCATGAGATCATGACCTGAGCCAAAGTTGGATGTCCAACCAACTCACCCAACAGAGTGAGCCACCTGGGCATCCTGAAGAAGCTTAGATTTTAATGACCAGGACAGGTGGTCAGGGTGGAACAAGACAGGCCAGGTGTAGAGGCAGGCTGAACTCAAGCATCCATTCAGGGTATATTTATACTTTGTACACAATACCTACGTGTGCTTTGTGTGAAAATAAAATGACTTGCAATTATGTGAAAACAGCATCTAAAAGTCTGTGTCAAACTTCCTGTAGTGGCAGAGGTCAGAGGCCCTTGGAAAGGACCATAGAAGTGGAAGGAGACCAATGTAGGTGATCATCTGTGGTAACAGCTATCAGTGAGTAGTCCCCAGAGTTGCAGGGCAGTATGAAAACAGCAGACCATGGCTACTTGTCTAATGTTAGAACTATTGCCATAAAGATCCCAAATTATACAGAAAAACCTGGGAAAGATGAATACCTACATTAGCAAAAGGGCTATCTCAGGAACAGAGAGGAATACAAGAGAGAAGGGTACAGGGAAGAACAAGGGGAGTAAACTTCACAGCTCTTGGTAGTTAGCTATAGCTACATAAGAATTAACTGTTCTTTGATCTGATCTGAACTATTTCAAAATTTGTTTTCCAAGTGAGAGAGCCTGGGAGTAGAACTTAGGAGTACTACTCTCACCTTGCCCCTCAAGTTCCAGTGTCTCCAAGTCAGGAGCTGGCCATGGAGATGGAGGAGGGGTGAAGGTCTGTGCCCTCAGAGATGGAAGAGGAGATCTCTCCTGGGGGAGATCAAGGCCAGCTAAGAAAGGTGCTGAATTTCAGGCAGGTCAGCCCTGCACCTACCCTCACTCACCACCTCCACCACTAGCACTCACACTGCTTAGGTTCTCCATTTAATTCTACTAAACCAGCAGAAATTCTAGCAATTACTGACAGATTCATTTAGGCTAACATAAGATGTTTATTTGTTTGGTTGTAAAAAGTAAATCTCTGCAGGAGAGACATTGTCGATTGGTATAAAATATGACTTAGCTCAGAAATTGCTTCTGTGAACAAACATCTGACCAGGTTATATTTCAAGGGGAGGGGCGGCTAAGGAAGGGACATTGGAGGGGCACCTGGGTGGCTCAGTTGGTTGGGTGTCCAACTTCAGCTCAGGTCATGATCTCACAGTTCATGGGTTCGAGCCCTGCCTTGGGCTCTGTGCTGACAGCTAGCTCAGAGCCTGGAGTCTGCTTTGGATTCTGTGTCTCCCTCTCTCTCTGCCCTTGCCCACTTATGCTCTGTCTCTCTCTCTCTCTCTCTCTCAAAAATAAATAAACATTAAACTAAAAAGAAAAAGAGGGGACTGTGACTTCCTGGAGCTGCACAGGCACCACAACTTTCAGAGGAAGAGAATTCACTTCTGGGTTGGAGACAGCATCTGTTCCATTTTGAAGTATTTCCTTGAATCCCAAGATGGATTTGTTAGGTTTTGTGGTTTTGACAAATTCTCTGTATTTTTCAAATACTTAAATATCTATTCAGCTGACATCTTAATCAGTATGACTGTCAGAATATCACTTGAATTTCTGACAGGTGACACCCAAAAAAGCAAAAGCAGGTTTATTTGTAGGTAACCTGTTCCACTCCTGCTGGGCTACATTGTAATTTCTCCTTATATTAACTTCTGATCAAATTCCTGAGTCAAAAGCATAGATGAGAAGGGAACTCAGGGAGCACAGAGCCCAAGTTCCTTATTCCAAGATGAGGAATTCGTGACCTTGAGTAGTAGTGATGTGCCAATGACTCAGTGCCTGTGCAGAAACATGCAGGGTTTGTTCTTGGCCTGACAGGATGAGCCCAGGCCTTTATTAAAATGCTCAGACCAGATCTTACACATCTTTGTCCTGAGGACTGAACCCCTCTAGTCCTCCTCTGGCCACACTCCTGCCTATTGATTAAGGAGTCTGTGGCCATGGGCACTTGCCACTCTAGGCACCCCAGGCCCCAGGGGCATTTGTCTGTGGACAGAGAATGGAATGTGGATAGGCAGGATGGCATGACCACATAGGGGTATGTGAGTCACGTGTTACCCTAGGGGTGGGCAGAGAAGGGGGACAGGCTGTAGCTTGGGCCAGAAGCTGGCTCCCCTGTCCCACATTCTAGCTGCTACTCCAAAAGGCCCTGGAATTCTAAATTTACATCTGGCCTTTTAAGGTTGTGAGGAAGGTATGTCAAAATAGGAAGATAGAGACTTGTAACAGTTTTTAGCTTGATTGAGAACTTTAAAATAATTAGACATAAGATATGTAGTCCTCATTCTTTTGTTCTAGATATTATAAATGTTAGGGGAAGATTATCACTTGGAACCTTGAGTAACAGAATTGGAGAAAAGGAAATTGGAAATGACAGGCTTTCCTGAATATTGGATTTGGTCAGTTATTTGCATTCCATGCTGTGGTAGCTGATTTGCCAGACCTTTTAGGCAGAAAATGTCCTGAAAGCCATTACTGACTTTATATCCTATTCAGGCTGTGAGCACTACAGTCAGCTTCTAGGAGGCGTTTCTTGACAGGAGCTGGCCATATTCCCAGATCAGAGCAGGCTATTAGTTGTGGTTGCAGAGCAGACTAGGAATGGGCTGGGTTGAAGTCACATCCTAGCAAGTGACGGTCACTCCAAGTGGCCTGTGGCCTTCCCTGTTGAGTGTGGAGTCCTTAGACCTTTCTTGTCTTTGTCTCCCTCCTCCCCCACAGCAGGCAGAGATGGAAAGGTGGGCTGAGGTGAGGTGGGATGCTTCCTTTCTGTCTTCCACTTTAGCCTTCTGCTTCAGTTCTCACCCACATCCTGATTTTAGTCAAAGGCCATTTCTCAATGTAACCTGTTAAGGGTGGAGAACTTGTACCCCAACTTCTTGGCCCCCTGGCTTACTATCTGTCCCTTTCAGCTCTTTCTGGGGTATTTCATCTGCCTGTTGTAGCCATGTTGTGATAGTATTCCCATAAAAGTCACCTGTCATCTTACCTCATCAGTTTACTGCCTCTGAGACTCTGAGCCTGACAGACACACAGATGAAGAAAATACTGCGAGTCCCTGGTATGTGAACACATCTCTGTTTGGAGTCTCATTCAGAAAAAGCTGCATCAGCCCAAGTAACAAACAGGAACATCATTTCCCTATAGGAGTATGCCTTAGGGCAGGAAGTGACCTCAGAGCCCGCCACCCCTGACCCCTGAATCCCTTCCCCTCAGCCCTTTATTATTATTTTTTTAAATGTTTTATTTATTTCTGAGAGAGAGAGAAACAGCGTGAGCAGGGGAGGGTCAGAGAGAGAGGGAGACACAGAATCTGAAGCAGGCTCCAGACTGAACTAGCTGTCAGCACAGAGCCCGATGCAGGACTCAAACCCATGAGCTGTGAGATCATGACCTGAGCCGAAGTCAGACACTTAACCAGCTGAGCCACCCAGGCCCCCCTCCCCTCAGCCCTTTAAAGCCCAGGAAGTAGAGTCCTGCTGCCATGTTCTCCCTCTGCTTGTGGTCCGGGTAGTGAGTTAAGTTCCTGAGAGAGGAAAGAAAGGTCTGATTTGCCCCCACCCCCCATGACTGAGGTGACTGCCCATCACTCACGGAGGCATCCTGGAGAGCAGTCCTGTTCCACAGCCCTCTGTCTTCTGGGGCCACCTCAGCCATGGGGCCCAGCAGTGTCTATGCCACTTTGCTGAAGCTTTCTTCACCTTAGCCGCTACCTGACTGCACCAGTGTTTTCTCTTTCTCAGAGCTGGGCAATCTCTGGCCCTGGTTCAGTGTGCCTCCCAGCACTCCTCTCAGGCAGGCCCTCCTACAAACACAGGCTGTGTGTTGTGAGTGCTGCCAAGATAGTGTGTATGCCCTGGGTAAAGGTATATCAGATAATGGCATCTGTGGCCAACCCCCAGTCCGGCTGCTGGGAAGGTCTGGGGAGGGACTTCAGAGCCCTGAGAGGAACAAGCAGAGCAGTGCGCTGCTTGCTCCTCTGCTGGGGCTCCTCCAGGGAGGGTCTGGCCACTCAAAATTCACCTCTTCTGCCTCTTGGCCATGACTGAACTCCCATCTCTGTCCCCTGTGGGGTCCTTGGGGCTCCAAGTAAACAGTGGCCCCCAGAGCTCCCCAGAGGAGGTTCCTGCAGCATTTTTAAGGCCTCGACACAGCCTGGGCATTCTCCATGCCTCCTACAGCGTCAGGTAAGACTGATGCCTCTTCTTCCTACTGGGAGCTTGAAGCTGGGCTTTGTTTGAGCTGTGGTCGTGGCCTGAGGTGAGTGGGCCTCTCACCCCCTCTGCTGGCTTTCCTCACTGATAGGGGGCACACATAGAGGCTTTGGGCTCCCTCAGTGGATCAGGGTGGAGAGACGAGAGGGGAAGGGCTGCCAGTGGTAAATGAGCAATGGTGAATAGCCCCCCTCTTTCCCGTGACAGGACCTGGAAGCTCTAACAGCAAGGCACCTGTGTTCTGCTGTACGTCCAAGCTTTGTGCCGCTTACCGCTTCCTTTGTGTCCCCCTGTGTACAGCTTGCCCCATGGGGATGGAGAGGGCTTGGGGAGTACTTGGAACATTAAGTGTAATGAAGCCTGGTGAAGGAACACAGGGTCAGCTGAAGGAATAAACGGTGTCCCGTTTGCCATCTCCCACTCAGCCAAAGAGAGCTGGCATTCAGAGCAGCTCCTAGGCAGGGGTTTTACACAGACCATCTTTCTCAGTCACTACCTGCCAGTGTCCACAGAGGAGGACACTGAGCCCCAACCACATTTAGGAACCTGTCCAGAGACAACTGGGATCAGTGCACAAGAGTGTGGCCCCTTCTGGAACCCCACCCTGCCTTTCCTTTAAAGCCACCAGGTTGGGCCCTGGTGGGACTTCACATCTTGCCGGCAGCAGTGGGACCGGCAGATCCTCAAGGATGTCTCCTTGTACGTCGAGAGTGGGCAGATCATGTGCATCTTAGGGAGCTCAGGTAAGCTTGGGAAGGAGTACTTTAACTTTGCCTTCTCAGTGAGCATTCAGAAAAGGCTTTCGCTTGCTTCGAACACCACATTGAGGAAACAGGTTTAAGTTGTAGCAAGGAGGCCACAAGTTTGATATTAGAGTGAAATCAAATGACATGTCTGACTGAATGGAATCTTGTACTAATATGAAGCCTTTAGAAAGATCCTTGGAAAAGAATAAACTCCTGGGGACCCTGGGTGGCTCACTTGGTTAAGTGTCCGACTTGGGCTCAGATTATAATCTCACAGTCTGTGGGTTTGAGCCCCACATTGGGCTGTGTGCTGGCAGCACAGGGCCTGCTTGGGATTCTCTCTCTCTCTCTCTCTCTCTCTCTCTCTCTCTCCCTCCCTCCCCTACTTACATACACACACACACTCTCTCTCTCAAAATAAATCAACTAAAAAAAAAATAAGAATAAAGTCTTGCCTAACATATCAGTTAATTCGTATTTCAGAGTATGGAAAGCCCCTAGCATGGTGCCTGGCATGTAGAGGTACTCAGTAAACACAATTTCCCTGATCTTTATACTGTGCTCAGAGGCAGGAAAAAAAATTAAGTACAAAGATGCCCACTTAACACCATATCCATTTTATTTTATGATGTATTTTAAATATACAGGCAAGAGTAGAGAATAAAGAATGTTCATGTATTAACATCTGGCTTTATCAGGGCACCTGGGTGGCTCAGTCAGGTAAGCCTCCAACTTCAGCTCAGGTCATGGTATCATGGTTCATGGGTTCGAGCCCTGCATTGAGCTCTGTGCTGACAGCTCAGAGCCTAGAACCTACTTTGGATTCTGTGTCTTCTTCTCTGCCCCTCCCCTGCCACTCCACGCTCTGTGTGTCTCTCTCTCTCTCAAAAATAAACATTAAACAATTTAAAAAACAAAACCCCAGAAAACTTTTTGCTTTATCAAATCTTTAACATCTATGTTACACTTGCTTTGTGTCTTTTTTTTTTTTTCTTAACATCCAAGTTAGTTAACATACAATGTAATAATGGTTTCAGGAGTAGAATTTAGTGAATCGTCACAAAACACCCAGTGATCATCCCAACAGGTGCCCTTCTTAATGCCCATCACCCATTTAGCCTCAATCCCCCCACCCAACATCCCTCCAGCAACCCTCAGTTTGTTCTCTGCATTTAAGAGTCTCTTATGGTTTGTCTCTTTGTCTTATTTTTCCTTCTCTTCCCCTATGTTCATCTGTTTTGGTTCTTAAATTCCACATATGACTGAAATCATATGATACTTGTCTTTCTCTGATTTATTTTGCTTAGCGTAATACACTCTAGTTCCATCCATGTTGTTGGAAATGGCAAGATTTCATTCTTTTTGATCATGGGATAATAATCAGTTGTACATATATACCACATCTTTATCCATTTGTTAGTTGATGGACATTTGGGCTCTTTCCATAATTTGGCTATTGTTGATAGTGCTGCTGTAAACATTGGGGTACGTGTGCCCTCTTTTGTATCAGTATTTTTGTATCCTTTGGATAAATTCCCAGTAGTGCAATTTCTGGGTCATAGGTAGTTCTATTTTTAATGTTTTGAGGAACCTCCATACTATTTTCCAGAGTGGCTGCACCAGTTTCCATTCCCACCAGCAGTGCAAATGTTCCCCATTCTCCACATCGTCACTAATATTTGTTGTTTCCTGAATTGTTAATTTTAGCCATTCTGACAGGTGTAAGGTGGTATCTCATTGTGGTTTTGATTTGTATTTCCGTGATGATGCATTATGTTGAGCATCTTTTCATCACATTCTTTTTTTAAAAATTTTTTTATGCTTTATTTCTGAGAGAGACAGCATGAACACGGGAGGGTCAGAGAGGGAGATACAGAATCTGAAACAGGCTCCAGGCTTTGCGCTCTGGGTGTCAGCACGGGGCTCGAACCCACGAACCATGAGATCATGACCTGAGTCAGATGCTTAACCGACTGAGCCACCCAGGTGCCCCAAGGAATTAAATATTACACACTTCACTGAGGCTATCTTCGTGCTCATTTTCCACTTATCCTCCTCTTTCTGAGGTCATCTGACAGTTGAGGCTGAATTCACTGTCTTTGTGTCCGTATGTCAGCCTGTCATTGCCCTGGGCAGGTGTTGCCTCCAGAGAGGCAGATCCTTGTATCTGAGGGCAGTGCCCCATGGGGATCACAGCTGTTGAGTCCTCAGCATGACCCTGACAAGGGGATCTGCATGGACACCACAGGTTATCCTATATACTTTCAGGGTAAATGATTCTGATAAACTGGCTTCAGAGGAGCTTCCTGGTTGAGTTCTTGGTTGCACTGAATTGTTGACATTTCCTAGCATTACCTACTTGCATCATTCTCTGTAATAGCAATGGGTAACACAAGTCTGTGCAAAAGTCAAGCACGGTCAGCCTCATTTGTCCTGGGGAGTTAAATTCATAGCCATTCCCCTGCTACAGCAGGTGAACACCTGGGCGGCAATAGTAGCATTAAGATTAAATGAGAAGGAATTCACTGACTAAAAGTGTTAATTCTTTGCTGAGATTTCCTGTCAGTTCCTGTTTCCAGTTTTTAACTATTTCTAACTATATGTATCCAGGGTCATTCTAATTTTCCTTTTGATAATTATTACATTCTTCTTTAAAAATAAGAAAAGCTGGGGCACTTGGGTGGCTTAGTCGGTTAAGCGTCCGACTTTCGCTTCGGTCATGATCTCGCGGTTTGTGGGTTCGAGCCCCGCGTCGGGCTCTGTGCTGACTGCCAGCTCAGAGCCTGGAGCCTGTTTCGGCCTGTGACTCCCTCTCTCTGACCCTCCCCTGCTCACGCTGTCTCTCTCTCTCTCTCCTAGAAATAAATAAAACATTAAAAAAAAAAAAATCTGAGTTATTCCTATAGGTTTTTTTTTGCTTATTGTCTTCTTTCTATAGGATTAGAGTGGTGTGGACACACAACAAAGAATGACCTCACATTCTCAGAAGGGTGTCCCACAGGCCAGTATTAATGCTTCATGCACATCTCAGCAGGACAGTGGGTTGGAGGCCTTGATCTGGGAGCTCATAGGCTGGTTTGTGATGATATGTAATCATGGTTTTATAACAATGTCTGTCCTCTTATATTGGCCACAAATTCACGGTAGACTGCAAATATCCTACGGTGGGAGGTTTTGTTTTGTTCTGTTTTGTTTTCTTCCTGTATTCTCAACAACTAGAATAGGACTAGCCACACAGTAGGTGATTAGTACTATTTGTTGAATATGTGGGTAAACAAATCAATTCTATTAATAAGTTAGCGTTTAACAATTAGCGTTTCACAGAATGACATATGATTTCACTGGTGTCTTACCTAACATAGCATTGTTTGTCAAATCTTTATTAGTGAAGCAAAAGAAGACTTAGGCATTCAAAGTCTCACAACAGAATGCTCTAATGTAAGCCAGCGTAGGGTCACCCAACATTCCAGAGGAGGGTAACTATAATTGACTCATTATTTGCTATCAGTTGGGATCTAGACCCTGAGCTGTTTGCTCCCTTGTAGAGGACTATTTAGTTATAAACAATTTCTGTCCGTTTAGGGAAGATAACTCCAAAGGTCATGATTTTATTGCTCTATAGGGCATTAACCTTTTGTTTTCTTTTTCTTTTTTTTTTCTTTCTTTTTTTTTTTTTTTTTTTACTGTGGTAAAGTACACATAAAATTTACCAGTTTAACCACTTTTTAAAAAATATTTTTATTTTATTTTTGAGACAGATACAGAGTTTGAGCAGGACAGGGGCAGAGAGAGAGGGAGACACAGAATCCAAAGGAGGCTCCAGGCTCTGTCTGAGCTGTCAGCACAGAGCCAGATGCGGGGCTCAAACTCAGGGACTGTGAGATCATGACCTGAGCCAAAGTCAGATGCTTAACGAACTGAGCCACCCAGGCACCACCCATTTTAGTCATTTTTAAGTGTACAGCTCAATGTGTACAGTATTCATTGTGAATAAATATATTCACATTGTTGTGCAGCCATCTCCACCATCCATCTTGTGAAACTCTTGCAAAGCTCTTCATCTTGTAAAACAAACTCTATGCTCATTAAGTGACAACACTTCATTCCTCTTGCCTCCAGCCCCACCATTATATTTTGTCTGTATGATTTTGATAACCCAGCCTCATAAAGTGGAGTCATACAGTATTTGTCTCTTTGTGTCAGGCTTATTTCACTTAGCATAATGTCCTCAAGTTTCATTCATGTTGTAGCCTATATCAGAATCTCCTTCCCTTTTAAAGCTGGATGATATTCCATTGGTATCTATACCATATTTGCTGCTCTGTTCGTCCATTAATGCGTCCATTAATGGATACCTGAGTTGATTCCACATTTTAGCTGTTGTGAATCATGCAGTAAAGATGTATCTATACAAATATGTTTGAAACCCTGTTTTCAATTCTTCTACCAAGAAGCAGAATTCTTCTACTTTTTTTTTTTTTAATGTTTTATTTATTCTTGAGAGAGAAAGAGAGATAGAGCATGAACAGGGGAGGGGCAGAGTGAGAGAGGGACACAGAATCTGAAGCAGGCTCCAAGCTCTGAGCTGTCAGCACAGAGGCCAGCCTGGGGCTTGAACTCACCGAGCTGATGTCGGATGCTCAACCAATTAAGCCACCCAGGCTCCCAATTCTCCTACTTCTTCTACCAAGAAGTAGAAATGCTGTATATGGTAATTCTATTTTTAAGTTTTTGAGGAACTATTATTGTTTCCACAGTGGCTATACTATTTTATATCCCCACTAACACTGTACATGGGTTCTAATTTCTCTACATCCTTACTAATGCTTTTTATTTTCCATTTTTTTGATAGTAGCCATCCTAAGAGTGTGAAGTGGTATCTCATTGCAGTTTTAATTTGTAGTTCCCTAATGCTTGGTAATGTTGAGCATCTTTTCACATGCTTATTGACCATTCATATATCTTCTTTGGAAACATGTCTATTTAAGTCCTTTGCCCAGTCTTGAATTGGGTTGTTGTTGCTGTTGTTGTTTCTGAGTTTTTAAAAGCTCTCTCTATATTTGGGATATTAATTCCTCATCAGATATGTGATTGCAAATATCTCTCCCATTCTGTGGGTTGCCCTTTTATGGTGGTGATAGTGTCTTCCACTGCGCGGAATTTTTATATTTTCATTAAGTCCAGTTTGTCTATTTTTTTATTTGTTACTTGTACTTTTGGTGTCATATTCCAGGGTATTATGCATTTTTGTGTCTAACTTTGCATCTTATTCTTTTTTTTTTAATTTCTTAAAAAATATGTATTTATTTTTGAGAGAGTGAGAGAGAGACAGAGCATGAGCAGGGAAGGGGCAGAGAGAGAGGGAGACACAGAATCCAAAACAGGCTACAGGCTCTAAGCTGTCAGCACAGAGTCCGATGTGGGGCTCGAACCCACAGACCATGAGATCATGACCTGAGTTGAAGTAGGACACTTAACCGAATGAACCACCTGGGCACCCCGCATCTTATTGACCTTTTATTTTCCACTGATTATACATACTAGTTTCGTACAGCCATTTTTTTCTTGTATTTTTTTTGAAGAATTTATCTTAAAAAATATCTTTTAAAGTTTTATTTATTTCTGAGAGAGAGAGAGAGAGAGAGAGAGCAACAGCATGAGCAGGGGAGGGTCAGAGAGAGAGGGAGACACAGAATCTGAAACAGGCTCCAGGCTCTGAGCTGGCTGTCAGTACAGAGCCCGATGCAGGGCTCGAACCCATGAACCGTGAAATCAGGACCTGAGCCGTAGTCGGATGCTTAACTGACTGAGCCACCCAGGCGCCCCTCTTCTATTCTTTTTTTTTGAATAAACTGTTTCATCCTGCTGGTCAATGACTAATGAGTTAATAAGTAATAAAGTTGAAATGTCTTTAAAAAGAGTTTAGCTATCCATTTCTATGTAAAAAGTACCCCACAACTAAGTGGCTTAAAACAATAAAGATCGTTATTATTTCTCAGAGTTTCTATGAGTCAGAAATGTGGAAGTGACTTTGTTGGGTAGTTCTGTCTGGGGTGTCTCATGAGGTTGTAGTCAGAAGTCTGCAGGGCTGCCGTCCTCTGAGGGCGTGGGCAGGGCTGGAGAGTCCACGTGCAGAGTGGCTCCCCTGCATGCTAGCTGGTAAGTTGGTGCTCATTGTTGCTTAGTGAGAGTGGATAATGTGAGAAGAGCTGAAGGCCCAGGAGGGAACCCTGAGTGTCACCCCCAGGAGGCTGGGAAGGAGCAGCCAGACCAGCAGCATGAAACAAAGAGGATGAAGTGGCATCAGAGCCAAGGGGGAGAGATTTATAGAGCCAGGCAGGCAACAGTATCAAATGCTTCTGGGAGAAAAGGGCCCACCAGATAGAGCAGCAAGGAGGCAACCTTGATGACCTCAGGGAGGCCAGTTTTGATGTGATGGGACTGGAATCCAGACCCCAAAATATTTGGAGCTTCTGTCAGAACTGAGGTTGAAATCCAGAAACAGAAGGCCAAGGAAGCTTCTAGTTAGAGGAACCGCATACAAGGCCTAGGATCATGACTAGGAAATTTCAGAGCATGTTTTGAAAGACAACCCAAATGAAGTCACATTTTGTTTTTTTTATATTCCCTCCCCTCTTTTCCCACACTGACCTCTACTGAACATTCTGGAGCTACCTCTGAGCTTGGTCACCCCATGGGTTAGATAAGAACCCCACTGCTAATGGAGTTGGCTCACTCATCTTTGTACTCCTCACAGCAGCAAGCAATTTCTTTACAGTTTTTGAATAAAAGATCTCTTTGATTTTACATAAATCATCATATCCTTGGTAGAATTCTCTTGCTATCCTTTTAGGCAGTTCAGAAACTCTTACCTATTAGCTTCTTAGCAGCCTGGCCCTGCTAACGCATCCTGACTCTCTGGGCTCATGTAGTTTGTGTCCAGTATGAAAGCGAGGGGCCAGGTGTTGTCTTATCCTAACTGTATCACCTCATCTCTAACACTAGAAAAATGAAACCAAGGGAAAGCTGTTAGTGACAACCAGCTGGCTTATGCCCAAGGCTCTCAGTGTAGGCTGAGGCCAACTTGATTTTACCAAAAGACTTGACCAGTTAGGGTTTCTGAAACTCTGATATGCATGGTAATTACTCAGGGATTTTTATTAAAAAGCAGAATCTTGGGGCACCTGGGTGGCTCACTCAGTTAAGCATTTGATTTTTGATTTCAGCTCAGGTCATGATCTCACTGTTCATGAAATGGAGCCCTGTGCTAGGCTCTGCGCTGACAGTGCAGGTCCTGCTTAGGATTCTCCCTTTCCCTCTGCCCCACCCCTTCCCCGAAAATAAATAAACATTAAAAAATATATTTAGGGGCACCTGAGTGGCTCAGTTGTTAAGCATCCAGCTCTTGCTCAGATCATGATCTCATGTTTCGTCAGTTTAGGCCCAGCATTGGGCTATCTGCTGTCAACACAGATCGTCTTCAGATCCTTTGTTCCCCTCTCCGCCCCTCCTCGGCTTATTCTCTCTCTCTCTCTCTCTCAATAAAAAAACTTTAAAAAAGTATATATTTTACACACACACACAGACACACACACAGGAATAAGAATCTGATTCAGCAGGCCTGGGCTCGGGCCTGAGATTCTACATTCAACATCACAAGTGCTCAGGTGATGTTGCTGGTATTCATACCACATTTGATTATCAAGGTTCTAGGCAATGTTTCCTACTTTCAGGAACCACTAGATAATCCCTGGTGGGGGGAGCTGAGTGCAGAAAAATTTAGATGTGCTAGATCCAAACATTTCTAAGAACCTAGGCTTTCTTTTTATTCTAATCCTATTTTTTCCTTTTCAACTCAGAACAGCTTTAGAAGCAGATAAACAGGCAGACAGAGCCCCTCCAGTCCTGACTGGGATAAAAGAAATGCCTCGTCTCTGTGACTTTTCCAGACAAGCTGGAAAGACTCATTGGTGCCACGAGCATTTGACCCAGGAGGCTAAAGAGAGAGCAACTCAGTGCTAGACCAGGGGCCCCCAGAGGGTCTGGGGATGGCCTCGCAATGCCTCATGGAGGGAGTCGTCCTGGGCCTTGTCTTTTTGTCTCCCAGGCTCGGGGAAAACCACGCTGCTAGATGCCATGTCTGGGAGGCTGAGACGCAAGGGGACCTTCCTTGGGGAGGTGTTCGTGAATGGCCAGCTGCTGCACAGGGACCAATTCCAGAACTGCTTCTCCTATGTCCAGCAGGTGGGCACACCCCTGGCCCCTGCTACTGCAGCCTGGTCTCTGCCACTGCCACATTGATGCCTCTCTCTCTCGCAGAGTGACACGCTGCTGAGCAACCTGACCGTGCGGGAGACTCTGCGCTATGCGGCACTGCTGGCTGTCCGCCGCTGCTCCCCAGGTTTCCTCCAGAAGAAGGTGGGTAGCATCTGGCCTTCTGTAGCCCTGTCCCCTAGGAGATCACCCTGTGATGGCTCTGCACCCCCCTTCCTTCCACTTACTTACCTATTCCTCCCCTTCACTCTTCACCTCTTTAGTAGGGATTTGTGCCACCCATTGGAGCAGCCACTGATCACCTGTGGCTTTGAGCACTTGACACCTGGTCCAGCCCAATTGAAATGTGCTATGAGTGGGAAACACACAGATTTTTTTTAGAAATTAGTCTGGGGGAAAAAAAGTGAAATATCTTATTTTTAAAATACTGGTTACAGATTGAAATGGTAGTGTTTTGACTGCATTGGGTTAAGTAAATTATATTAATTTTGTTTCTTTTTAAAATGTGACTACTAAAATATTTAAATTATGTATGTGGCTTTTATTATATTTCTGTTGGATGGATTGTTTTAGGACTTCAGTGTTTGAATAAATATTTTCCTCACTGTACTTTGCTGTGTAGCCCTATTGAGATTTTTCTCCTTTGAAGTATTTTGAACATGCCTCATCCAAACTGGATTAAATTAATGATCTGTTGACTTGTCAACTCTTTCTAGGTTTCAATCTGTTTCTTTAAATGTATCTAGTTTAGAAATAGTCAAATGTAAACCCACAGGGACTGAGGGTGTGTAGGTGGGTGTGCCATCTACTTCCCTTGGGAAGCGGACACACTTCCCTTGGGAAATAGGCCCTCAGAGTCACCAGAGGAGACCAGCAACATCTGCCTCAGAGGCTTCAGCAAAGCCACAGTGAGGTTCCTCCCAGGCACACAAATTATATCTGCAGTCCAGACTCCAAGGCTGGCTGCCTTTAGTGTTGTTGGGGTACCCCAGAAATCCTCCACATCTCAGCTGAGGGTGCTCCATCTTTATCAGGCACTGCTAGGTCTGTCCCAGGAACTTGCTCAATTTGCCCCTGGCATTGGACTTTCAGACAGGGCTTGGAGAGTGGAATTAGGTCTAAGCCGTGTCCCAAGTCCCAGTAGATTTGTTAGATAAAATGCCCGGGTAAGTAAAGAGCATTCTTCTGTTTGAGAGTTCTAGACCATGCTGGAGGATAGCTTTTACTCCAGAGGAGTCTTAGCAAGGGGCCTGGCCCTCAAAGAGGATACCTAGCTCTCTTCCCTGGAGGTTACCTTAGAGTGCTCAGAATGCATTGCAAGGTTCTTGCTATTCTATTCTGCAGGCATTCCTTGGAGATACTCTAGGCATGGTTCCAGACGACTGTAGTAAAGCAAACACCAAAATCAATAGAGTGAGGTGAATTTTTTGGTTTCCTAGTGCATGTAAAAGTATGTTTATACCATACTGTAGTCGGTTAGGTGTACAGTAACATTATGTCTAAAATAAACCATGTACGCATCTTAGTTTAAGAATGTCTTAGTGACACCTACATGGCTTGGTCAATTAAGCATCAGACGTTTGATTTTGGCTTAGGTCATAGTCTCACGGTTAGTGAGTTCAAGTCCCACATTGGCTCTGTGCTGACAGTGCAGAGTCTGCTTGGGATTCTGTTTCCCTCTCTGTCTCTGCCCCTCCCATGCTTGCTCACTCTCTTTCTCTCTCAAAATACATAAAAATAAACTTTAAAAAATGAAAATACTTTGACATGTGAAATAAACAAATGCTGTTGGAAAAATGGTGCCAGTAGACTTGCTTGACACAGGGTTGGCACAAACCATTAATTTGTAGAAAATGCACTGTCTGTGAAGCCTAATAAAGCAGAGTGCAGTGAAACAAGGTGTGTCTGTACTCTGAACTGTCCTAGCTGGCTGGCATTAGTCAGGCTTTGTTCACACACAGTATTGCATTTTATTCTTGCATCAACCCTATGAGGGAGGCATCTCTTGACACACAAGATTAAGATCAGACAATTGGGAATGGCAGAGCTGGGATGTGAACCTAGGCTGTCTAGCTCTGTCATGCCTCCCTGAGCTCCTGGGATCTCCTGAGCCCCCTTGTGATGAGAAAAGATGGAGGTCTAGTTCAGCTCACACTGAAGCCCAGGCATGTTCATGTGACTTAGCCTTGACAGTGAGTGACAGATGAGTCCATCTCCGGACTTTCTCTCTGCTTGCTTTAGTATTTCTCTTTCTAAAAAGGGCAGAAGATACCAGGGTGGGAGAAGTGATGTCATAAACTGATTCTTCTGAGTTAGTGATCTACTTATGTCACATATCCCAGTGAGAGAATGAATCTAAGAAAGCCATGGATCTCTTCCCCAGAAAATGCACATATATATAAATATTCAGAAAATTCATGGATGCCTTACAGTAAGTTGAGGGCAAAATTCTCCTACTCCCCCCACACCCCCCTCCCCCCACCCCCCCGTCCCACCCTGGTAACTGTTTTCTTGGCACTGGCAGCCCCTAAAAGTCCTGCAAAGGTTTCTCTGCCTGAAAGTACTTTCTAAGCAAATCTAGTCCACAGAGTGTAAAATTTGGACAAAGTAATTTAGGGAGAAGAAAATGGTGATAATAGCAGAGCACAGCAGACCTTTCCTCTGAGGAACCTGAACATAAAGCTGTGGTTGACATGGGCAGGCCGTGTCTGCTGGACTGTGGGTTAAACCTTGTGCTTCATGTGCCACTTGAGAATCTAGACAACCCTCTCAGTCCCAGCTCTGTCACTTGCTAATAGTGTGACCTTGGGCAAGTTATGCTTCTCTCTGAGCATCTGTTTCCTCCCTTATAATAAACAGAATAATAACACATCTCTCCTGGAGTTGATGTGAGGAATGAGTCAGTTTATCTGAGAACACATAGCATAGAAATTGATGATCCCAATGCATCCCAATAATCCCAAGGGTTCCTTCATGAGAGAGGCTTTGGGACAGAGCATGTGACATCTGAAACAGGTTAAATAAATGCCTCCTCTCTCTATCCCTTCTGATCCAGAAAGGCAAGTTTACTCCTTTCTTCTAGGTGTTGCAGAGCAGATGAAAGGGAGGCTCAGGAATCTCCCCTGGGGGGTGAGCGTATCAGCCTCGACATGTCAAGCAGAACTCAGTTCCAGGATCCTTCTGCTCTGATGGCAAGAGACCTTTCTTTTTTCCAAAGTAGATCATCATACTGGTTTATTTATGCATTGTTAACCTCGTTATTCATTTGGATGTACTTGAGATATATTCCTTCTTGTGGTCAAACCTTCCTCTATGCTTTTGATTCCACTCCTGGCTCCTCTGGAACTTTGTTCCACAGATCATCTCCTTTTTTACTCCAATCTACTTTGTTGTTATTTTTTTAAGTTTTTAGCAAGCATGAGTGGGGGAGGGCAGAGGGAAGAAGAGAATTTCAAGAACGCATTGCACTCTATAATGAGCCCGACATGGGGCTTGATCTCACAACTGTGAGATCATGACCTGAGCCAAAAACTAAAGTCGAGTGCTTAACTGACTAAGCCACCCAGGCGCCCCTACTTTGTTGTTATATGTTTTATCATGTTTATTTTTGAGAGAGAGACAGAATGCGAGCAGTGGAGGGGCAGTGAGAGGAGACACAGAATCTGAAGCAGGCTTCAGTCTCCAAGCTGTCAGTACAGAGCCTGATGCAGGGCTTGAACTCACAAGCTGTGAGATCATGACCTGAGCTGAAGTAGGAAGCTCAACTGACTGAGCCACCCAGGCACCCCTGTTATTATTTTTTAATGCAGTGTTTTGTTTCTTTTTTCATGATAGAACTAACACAATCTCTTTAGATAAGGGAATGCAACTCATTACCATATATGTAAGTATTTTCAGTCTCTTTCTAGCTGCTTTCCCCAGGGCCCTGTGTAGGGCCCTATGTAGGGGTAATCAAGCAACGCAGAGCCAGAAGTAGAGTTTTGAGAGTCTCTGAAGATGGGCTAACTTGAGGAAGGAAAGAAGGAATGGGAGGGCCATTTAAAGGCCAACTTTCTTTACAAAATTCTTCTAGTTGTTGTCAGGAAGTTGAGAAGGAGCAATAAAAAGGGTGTCAGGGAGCAGCAGAGTCTAAGAGAAGTAGAGGAGAACTGGGACAGGACATGAAGTATGGCTGTAGATAATAAACTGGGTCCCCAGGAAAGTCTTTAAAGAGATTCAAATAAAGAATTGGCATTATTTTTACTTACTTTTGATAGCTGGATTGTTTTTGATGCAAAACCACACTGAGAGTGGGCCATGTGGGACTCCAGGACTCATTTGGGTTATGTAAGAGTAGTCAGGTTTAGTGCAAACCAAATTAGATTTTTTTTGGCATATAAAACATTTATTATAATAAAATTTCAAAAAACAGACATTTTTTTAAATGTTTATTTTTGAGAGAGAGAGAGTGCAAGCAGGACAGGGCCAGATAGAGGGAGAAACAGAATCGGAAGCAGGTTCCAGGCGCTGAGCTGTCAGCACAGAGCCCAACCTGGGGCTCAGACTCATGAGCTGTGAGATCACGACCTGAGCTGAAGTTGGACGCTTAACTGACTGAGCCACCCAGGCGCCCCACAAATATATTTTTAAAAAGCTATAGTGTAACTATGCCTTTGGGGAATCTTTCTGTATGCTGGACTTAATGCAGCATCTGAAAATAGGAGTCCCAACAGGGGCGCCTGGGTGGCTCAGTTGGGTAAGCATCCAGCTTCAGGTTGTGATCTCATGGTTCGTGAGTTCAAGCCCTGCGTTGGGGTCTGTGCTGTCAGCTCAGAGTCTGGAGCCTGCTTTGGATTCTGTGTTTCCCTCCCTCTCTCTCTACCCCTCCCCCACTTGTTTGTGTTCTCTCTCTCTCCTTCTCAAAAATTAATAAACATTAAAAATTTTTTTTAAAGTTTTATTTGAAAATAGGGGTCCAATGAAGTTTCCATTGTTCCCTGGTGAATTTCCCTGAAACAAATGTAAACAGTTTTGTTGCTCTAGAGACTTCTGAAAAACAGCTACATTGTTTTAATCTGATACATGTAGTATGATTTAGACCAAAGTGGATTTTATCATCATAGGCACATTCTCCCTAGGGTGTGGTGACAGTGACTGAGCACTCCAGGGCAGTGTGTTGTTGCCTCTCCCATGCTGTCTGCAGGCAATGAATTAGGGCTGCAGCCCAGCAGTGACCAGCCTTACCGGGCTCTATGTCTCAAACAGGTGGACGCAGTCATGGTGGAGCTGAGCCTGAGCCACGTGGCAGATCAACTGATTGGCAATTACAACCTTGGGGGAATTTCCAGTGGTGAGCGGCGCCGGGTCTCCATCGCAGCCCAGCTCCTCCAGGATCCCAGTAAGTGGGACTCAGAACTACTGGCGGCTGCCCATCTTCCATTGGTTTCTGCCATACGTCTGCAGATGTTTTCAGTCCCTTTTTTCATAGTCTCCATTTGGAAAGGGGTTTGTGTGGAACTGACCTCACTAACTTCAAACCGGGGACCCAGTTTCTTTGGAAATACTTACTATGTAGTTCTTGATGCCATCACACCATCCAAGTACAAAACAGCTCTTAGACTTGGAAACACTGCATTTGCATTTTAATGTTCAGTGAAGGTCTTCCATGAACACACGGGCCTGGCCATCCTGACTTCTCACTAGAGCAGCACCACTGTGTGTGCTGTGGAAAGACCGTGAGTTTTGGTGTGACTAGAGGTAATAATGCAATGGCAGGAATTAAAGCAGGACTTTGATACACAAAAAAGTGTGCATTTTGGAGGGAGAAGTATCAAGATGAGGTAGCCAGTCACCTGCCTCTCCTGCTGGGTTTGGTCATTCTCCCCACCACTGGGGGAACTGCAGCACTTACATATGCATCTAGAAGAGGCCATACTGCATTGGATACTACACTGAGGCAGACCTGTTCTTCAGATGGTGGTTGATCACCAGAAGACAAAGAGAGATGTTCTTAAGAGCCCTTCTCACTTTCTGGGTAGAAAGAGCCACAGTTAAACCCTCTAAAGAAGCTAACTCCCTGTCTCACCTCGGACTTTGTTTTATGGGTCAGAGTTTTTGACAGCACAGAGACCCTGTCAGTGTTGGAAAGTGCTCCACATGAGGTGAAGTTATGTCTTTTTAACCAGCCTCCTCTCAACCTTTTGAAAACAATTTGGTGCCTGCTCACCAGCCCTCATTCCTTGTCATTGGTCCTCTGGACAGAGCCCCAATAATCCACAGTACCATGTGAGAGGCCTGACCTTGTTGCTGCCTGTTCCCTCAAGGATTAAAGCCAAAATGTCCTCTGCAGCTGGGAGCTGGGTCCTCTTAGGTCAGGTTCTCTCTCTTGGGCTTGGGCCAAAAGCCAGTTTACATGCAGTTCTTCTCACAGCATACTGTTTGCATGGGGTAAGATGGGATGGGACATCTCCATAAAGAACTATGCAAAATTATGAGCTTAACCAAACTCCACACCTGTAAACCAAATAACCCAGTGAAGAAATGGGCAGAGGACATGAATAGACACTTTTCCAAAGAAATCCATATGGCCAACAGACCCAAGACACATGATCAATGTCACTCATCATCAGGGAGATACAAATCAAAGCCACATTGAGATACCACCTCACAGGTAGTGAGTGGCTAAAATAAACTAATCAGGAGACTATAGATGCTGGTGAGGATGTGGAGAAATGGGAACCCTCTTGCACTGTTGGTCGGAATCCAAACTAGTGCGGCCTCTCTGGAAAACAGTGTGGAGGTTCCTCAGAAAATTAAAAATAGAACTACCCTGTGATCCAGCAGTAGCACTGCTGGGAATTTACCCAACGGATACAGGAGTGCTGATGCATAGGGGCACATGTACCCTAATATTCACAGCAACACTCTCAACAATAGCCGAATTATGGGAAAAGCCTAAATGTCCTTTAGCTGATGAATGGATAAAGAAGATGTGGTTTGTGTATACAATGGGATACTACTTGGCAATGAGAAAGGATGAAATCCTGCCATTTGCAGCAATGTGGATGGAACTGGAGGGTATTATGCTAAGTGAAATAAGTCCGAGAAACACACCATTATGTTTTCACTCATATGTGGATCTTGAGAAACTTAACAGAAGACCATGGGGGAAGGGAAGGGGAAAAAATAGTTACAAGCAGAGAGGGAGGGAGGCAAACCATAAGAGACTCTCAGACACAGAGAGCAAATTGAGGGTTGATGGGGGTTGGGGGAGAGGGGAAAGTGGGTGATAGGCATTGAGGAGGGCACTTGTTGGGAAACCAAATTAACAATAAGTTATATTAAAAATAAATAATAATAAAATTCTGAGTTTAGAGTCCAAAGCCTAGTGACTCAGAAACCTGACCCTTCCTTGCCTGCAGAGGTCATGTTGTTTGATGAGCCCACCACAGGCCTGGACTGCATGACAGCCAATCAGATCGTCGTCGTCCTGGCAGAGCTGGCTCGCAAGGACCGCATTGTGATTATCACCATTCACCAACCACGTTCTGAGCTCTTCGAGGTGAGAGGGACATCTCTTGTTCCTGCTTAACTCATCAGAGGTGGGTAGATGTGTGTGTGTTGAGATGGGGATCATGAAGGAGAGATTAATACTTGTCAGCCAGAGCAGTTGGAGCCAATATGGGCTTCCTGATATGGGAAGGGCACCTACCGTGTACCAAATACCTTCTCTGCACTAACTCATTTAGTGCACACAACAGTCCTATGAGGTGGATATCAGTACTGTTATATAATAGAGAAGAAGGAGATTTAGAAATAATGCCAAATTGAGTCAGTACCACACAGTAAAGAAGCTGGAAGTAGCATTCATGGTCCCGTTGGCTTCAAAGGTTGTTTCTTTCCACTAAATCATATAGATTTCCTTCCAAAAATCTTACTTCATCTTCCCAGGATACTGTTAGGGAGCTATTATTTGCCTTTTAAAAAATTTTTTTTAATGTTTGTTTATTTTGAGGGAAAGAGAGAGTGAAGCAGGGGAGGGGAAGAGAGAAAGGGAGACAGAATCTGAAGCAGGCCCCAGGCTCTTAGCTGTCAGCACAGAGCCTGATGTGGGGCCGAAACCCACGCACCATGAGATCATGACCTGAGTCGAAGTCAGACGCTTAACCGACGGAGCCACTCAGGTGCCCCATATTATTTGCCTTTTATAGACAAGGATCTGAGATTAAATACATGAACATCTTGTCCAAGGTCACTCAGTGCCACGACTGGGATTCAAACTCAGGTCCACTGACCAGCTCCACGAGTTCTCCTCTGCCCCAGATACGATGCTGAACCCAGGCTGGATACAGCTTTGTGCACAGAGGCAACCCAGGTTGAAAAAAAAGTAGGGACACGCTCTGTGTGTCTCCAGTGGGAACAGTCAGAATACTGATGCATGACTGAGATAATCAAGGACTCACTGCTTGGAAATTTATTCTCCAGAAGAATATGATAACCTGATTATACACTAACACCATGTATTTTCCAATCAGCTCTTTGATAAAATCGCCATTCTGAGCTACGGAGAGCTGGTTTTCTGTGGGACACCAGTGGAAATGCTTGATTTCTTCAATGGCTGCAATTACCCTTGTCCTGAACATTCAAACCCTTTTGACTTTTATAGTAAGTTTTTTTTTCACCTTTCCCGTTAAGAATATTTATTAAACTTTATCATCTCAGATTTCTGCCTGGATGTCAACAGCACTGGTGGATTTTGTTCTCGGTTTTGTTTTGGTGTTTTCACTCTTTAAGGAATTAGTTTGGCTAGCTAGGTACCTTAATATGCCATCTGATAGGTGACCTTTCAGAATGTAAGGTGGGGGATCTCTCTCAAATGGGTGCACATCCACTTTGTCAGAGAAAAATAGCTGAGCTTCTAAATTCTCACAGCAGCCCCAGTTGTATCCTCAAGGCCTTGCAGGTAACCTTAAAATAATTCTGATTTTATAGGTGGGCATGAACAGAAAACATTCTGATTTTATAGGTGGGCTAGTACCCTGGAATCAAAGATGAAACATGCATTATAAGCTATTGTGCATATATTTGCATTTAAAAACTCATTGATGACTTCTTTTGGAAAAAAATTAGTGGACCTGACATCAGTGGATACCCAAAACAAAGAACGGGAAATAGAAACCTACAGGAGAGTCCAGATGATTGAATCTGCCTACAAAGAATCAGCAATTTATCACAAAACCTTGGAGAATATTGAAAGAGCAAAACACTTGAAAACATTGCCAGTGATTCCTTTTAAAACCAAAGATTCTCCTGGAGCTCTCTCTAAACTGAGTGTTCTCTTGAGGTAAGAGCCTCAGCCCGTTTTAGGTGGTTAGACATGCACCAATGAAAGAAAAGGAATTAAAATGGGGTTGTTTGGTTTTCAGGAGAGTGACCAGAAACTTACTGAGAAATAAGCTGGCAGTGATTATGCGTCTTGTTCAGAATCTGATCATGGGTTTGTTCGTCATTTTCTACCTTCTGCGGGTCCAGAATGATGTGCTGAAGGGTGCTGTCCAGGATCGCGTGGGTCTTCTATACCAGTTTGTGGGTGCCACCCCATACACAGGCATGCTCAACGCTGTGAATCTGTGTACGTGCCCATGCCTAGGGCTGGGGGCGGGGGGCACTTCCTCTCTTCTCCATCTGGCACCTTGCAGCACTCCATGAAATAAGGGTATTTTGCTGAGCTGAACTTGGCTGTCTCCAGATTCTCTCCCTGGGGAACGGTAACTACTGAGTTACTGATATCTGAGTGTGAATTAGTTCACCAGGTAGATCTTTCTGAGGGTCTAAGGATCCAGGGAAACACGAAGTTATGAGCTACTGATGGGGCAGGGTTTGGGAAGGTTATTTTTTAAAAAGGTCATCCCTGGTATTCCTATCTTGGCCATTAGGATGTACAGTGCCTGGGAACCCAGATATCTGCCAAGTTTGCACTGTTAAATTCTTTTTGGAGCCTATTTTAGGATAGCCAGCACCTAATTTTCAAACTCAGAGAATTCATAAGCAATACCTAGTTGCCTGATGTTCTGTGCCAAAACCCTGCACAGAAAGAGGACAAAGTACCTCACATCATTCATGGTCCTTTTGTAAGTGTGTTCTTGAATTTGTGACACCCTTCCCATGATTTTTAGAGAGAAGGAAATAAATTATGACAGCCGTTGCAACCATATGGTAATTCAGGTAGAGTATATTTCTGTGGTGGAATATATTTATAGTTCTATGGATGGCAGGTCCCCCTCTTTCTGGGACTAGGGAGTCCCGGCTGGTCCCCATCGTGCAGCCTCAGGTTGTTTGGGCTAGCTCTCCTTCCTTAGCTGTGTGGTGACCAGCTTTTCTGAAACCTGCTTTCCCTGCCCAGTTCCTGTGCTGCGAGCTGTCAGCGACCAGGAGAGCCAAGATGGCCTGTACCAGAAGTGGCAGATGCTGCTGGCCTATGTGCTGCACGTCCTCCCCTTCAGTGTCATTGCTACCATGCTGTTCAGCAGTGTGTGCTACTGGTAAGGCTTTCTTCAAAGGTGTTTAGTCCTTCTGGGCCAGGCCTCCTGGGGAGTCCCAGATGGCCACTGGGCCTGATGGAGGGGGAGCTCCAGGGTGGACAAGTCCTTGCTCTGGGCCCTGGAGGTCTGTCTTTGCCCATCAATGTCTAGTACAATGTCCTGTTCTTCAGGACATAAAAGAACCCAGCTGGAGGCTACATGGGACCTGAGAGCAGACCAGCAGGACTACATGTGCCAGGGACTGGCACGTCCCACATCTGCAGCAGAGCCAGGCCAGAGAAGATTGCTCTTAAGTAGCTGGGACCCAGGGGTAGAGGTGGCAAGCAGCTGTTAAGCATGGCTCAACATTAAGCAAGGTTCCAGGCACCTGTCAGCTGGAATGGCAACTCTGCCTGACATTTCAGCTGACCCACCTGCAATATAGCAGTTGGGCTGGTGTGAGGGGGCTTGAGCAATGGAAGAATGGGTATGGGAAGAGGCACTGGGGAGCCATGAAGCATCCCTGATACTGTTAGGTTTTGATTGATGGCTTATAGACAATGCTTCTTTTTGGGTTTTTTTGTTTCTTACAGCTTTTAAAAGATATAAATCTGAAGATGTGTAGAGTTATTTGCATGATTTATCGTCATAGGGAGAAATATCTTCCCTAATCCCTATGGCTTTCTCTTAAGAAAAGATGGGGGCATTACCTGGTATTCTGTGACTCTAGTAGTGTAAATGTGCCCAGCTTGTCATCCCAGGAGAACTTCAGGCAGTTCTTGAAATGTTGTCTTCAAGCCATGGGATTTCATGAGTGCCTAAATAATACAGGTGCTCCTAACATAGCCAGTAGTCAGACCCGTGATATATGATATCAATAATTATTAGGAATTAAGTGATACATAAGTAAAAGACAAACCAGGGCCTTGTCAGTTTGAGTTCCCAGACGAAGACTGGGAAGGTCTTTGGTGCAGGTGCTTAGAAGTCGGTATCACTCTGGAGAGTGACAGAGGCAAAGCCACTTGCTCTGAGTTAGCAAGAGGTTGGGCTCCCCACTGAGGGCGATGGCAGGGACCTCCCTGCTGGACCTGCTGGAGCCTCATTCTCTGATAGAACATGTGGACTCTAATCTATGATGTAAAGCATGAGCCTGTCTAGTTCAGGCTGAATGATCCAGGAGCAGATTTTTATAACCTGACCATTTTTGAGTAAATCAAAGTTGGCTGAAAATTGAAGACCTTGGTAATTTAGACTCTTGCTACTCAGTGTAGCCCACAGACCATCCTTTGGAACTTGTTTAACATGTGGAATCTCAGGCCCAGCTACTGAATTGGATTCTGCATTTAACAAGATCCTCCTGGTGGTTCATATGCACTTTAAAATTTGTGAAGCACTGATTTTGAAGACCACACAGTATTTGAAACACTGCCCATGAGAAAGTTAGTTCTGCAAGATTTAAGATAACAGGGCAGTGTAAGCATACAGGTCATGACTGTTTTTTATTAAAGTCAGATATAAAAAGAATCCGTTCCAGTGGTAGCATAGCTGTTAGCAGTGTAGCAAACACTCTGAGTAAATGACAGCAATGTTGAATGCCTACTAAGCACCAGGCACAATATGAGGTGCGACAGAAGACTCAAAGAGGATTGAAGAGGAGGTGCTGCCCTCAGGCTTGCAATTCTGAAACTTAAACATCTCTGAAAGCTAGGATGTATCTGTAACTCTTCTCACAGCATGACTGACATGAATTCAGTGGCAAAATCAGATGTGAACCCACATGATGTTCTTTGTACATCAGCACTCCTGTTTAGCAGACATATTGATGTGCTTGGTTACAGGTGAAGTCCCTGATTCCACTTGTGATAAGTACGGTCTGTGTAGTGTATAGACTTTCCAAAATCTGTAAATTGCCATATTCCAAAATACGTCTGGCCCTAAAGCATTTCCTATGATGGATTGCAGACATAAATCTCCAGATGACTAATTCAAGAAAGTGTAAGATTAGTGTTATAAAGAAGCACAGTCACTATGCTGAGGAATGTAACAATAATAACAGCTAACACATATTGAGCACTTTATGTCAGGCACTAAGAGCTTTAAATATATCAACTCATGTAATCCTTCAACCATTCTATAAAGGTGGTACTATAATTATCCTTGTTTTTAGGTGAGCACACTGAGGTACAGATGGGTTATCTTCCCAATCCCAGCTAATTAAAAAGAGGCCAAGAGCCCATTTGGTTGAATAGGAAGAGCAACTCTTGAAGGACAACTTGAGAGATAAGCAGCATTCTAATGAATAGAAAAGGGAGCAAGGGCATTCCAGGAAAAGAAGGAGCAGGGGCATAAGTTCAGGAGCAAAACCACGTAAGACCTTTCCAAAGAAAAGATGCACTTGTGCCGTGGGAATGAAGGATTGGAAGGAGTAGTGAAAGATCTGACTGGCGCCTCTGGTGAGGTGGCAAATGCCAGGCTAAGGAGCTGAAGTGGGTTTGATAATGGGATGGGACCTAGGAGAGAAGTCTAAACCAGTGAGTGACCCATCTGTGACAGACTCTAGAGAGGGAGGCTGGCATGCCTTGGTAGCAGGCTGTGGGAGAGGCAGAGGCCCTATTGATTGAGGAGCAGTGGCAACAGTAGGGGAGTCCTTTGGAAATGCTAGGAAAGTAGAATCAAATGGGCTTAGGAACTATGGATTTGTTGGTAGTAAGGTCACAGATAATGCCTGAGTTTTCCACCTGAGGGAATGAGATGGTGACAACATCTTGACTCGGTTTGCCAGGAAAGAGCACAGATTTGGTTTTGAACATGTTGCATCTGGTATGCTACAGGATACCAGATTAGACACGTCATGCTGAGGTTTGGGTGGGAGACTGCAGCAGAAAGAAAAAGAGAGAGTAAAGGCCTGGGAATGGATTTCATAGGACAGAATACTGGTAGGGGAGAAAGTGGTCTTGAGTGCAAACCTAATGTTTATATTTTAATTAAAAAATTGTAACGTTTCTTTTTTTTAATGTTTTATTTTTGCGAGAGAGAGAGCGAGAATGTGGGTGGGGGAGGGGCAGAGAAAGAGGGAGATGGCAGAATCTCAAGCAAGAGCCAGGCTCCGAGCTGTCAGCACAGAGCCCAAGGCAGGGTTCGAACCCACAAACCATGAGATCACGACCTGAGCTGAAGGTGGATGCTTAACCAACTGAGCCACCCAGGTGCCCCCGTTTCTTTGTTTTTGAGACAGAGCATGAGTGGGGGAGGGGCAGAGAGCAAGAGAGACACAGACTGAGGATCAGGCCCCAGGCTCTGAGCTGTCAGCACAGAGCCCGACATGGGGCTTGAACCCCCGAACCATGAGGCCATGACCTGAGCTGAAGTCAGACGCTTAACTGACTGAGCCACCCAGGTGCCCCATGTGTAAACCTTAGGAGGAACATTCAGTGTGTGGGAAGTGGAAGGGTGGTCAGAGAGGTAGAAGGAGAAGCAGGACCAGGAAGCATCAGAGAAGCTGAGGGAGGAGAGCATTTCAAGGAAGTATAATAAACCCATTCATATTGCAGAGGTCCAAGGAGATGAGGCATCAATTTAGGAGGTCATTGGCAGTCTTCCAGAAAGGAGCTTTGATACACTGATGGGGGTGCAAAGTCACATTCACAAGGGAACAAGGAGGGAGATGGAAGACACAGATGCTGCCTGGGAAGCTTGGTGGCGTAGGGTAGGCTGAAGAGAAGGCAATTGCTCACACGGTTATCAGGCTCAGGGAATGGATATTTTAAGATATGGTAAATAACAGCATCTGGAAAAACCAATGGAGAATAGATGAAACTATAGCAAAATAGGATAATTCACAGATCACATTTCCTGAGTACAGCAGGGTAGGCATAGTGGAATCAGGTGACATGAAGTCAAGGAGCAAGTAGATAGGATCGACTTGGCAATAATAGGGGAGAAAGAGAAAGAATGTTTATAAGAAAATGAAGATCAAATCAGTGGAAGGGGCTGGTAGAATAAAAGACAAGAATGGAATGGAGTCCATGGAGGGAGTGAAGGGTTTTCACGCTGGCAACAACCCCACATGACAGGGATCAAGTGCAGGGATGGAGGGGCAGAGAAGCCCAAGGAGTGAGCCCTTAGCACTGGCAGAGTAGGTTAGCTAGGGTAGGAGCAGCGCTAACTAGGCAGAACATGGTTAATTAGAGAAGCCTGCAGAGTTCAACAATCTATTTATTGCACTAGTTGTGACCACTGTCTATTAATATTTTCCTATGAGAACTGAAGGAGCTCTAAAAGGAAAAGGCACACTAAGTTGGAGCCAACAGAAACAGTGTGTGGTAATGAATGGTCTCCACTGTTGGCTCTGTTCCAAAAAGGCCTTTCAAAGGGGGCTTTGGCTTATCCTGCAAATGCTTCCCACCCACTAACCACCATGGGCTTATTCATAGAAGGCAAGTGGGGTATTTTTATTAAATAACTCTTGGGAGGAAACTAACGATCTTATGTTTTTCTAGGACTCTGGGCTTATATCCTGAGGTTGCCAGATTTGGGTATTTCTCTGCTGCTCTCTTGGTTCCCCACTTAATCGGTGAATTTCTAAGTCTTGTGCTACTTGGTATGGTCCAAAACCCAAATGTGGTCAACAGCATGGTGGCTCTGCTCTCTGCTGCTGGGATATTTGTGGGATCTGGATTAATAAGGTAAGATATGGTGATTCAAAGGATTTCCATTGATGATTTGTTGTTAATCATCACTCGATTAATTATAAGGAGTTCCAGAGGAGAGCTATGTGATGTGACTAAAGGTATCACCTTATGGTCTGGAGTATTTATAGTGCCTGCTCACCATTATTATTTAGACATTGAACTGTTTACCATTTGTTGAGTAAAATATCTTCACACTGAGACTCAGGAAATGACAATTGAGGCATGTTATCCATATGATTCACATGTAATAACAAGAGGAGGAAGACCAATCCATCCTCCAGAAAAACTCACTGCCTATATTACAAGCAAAATAGCATGCATTTAATTCATAATTTTTTCTGCCCTGGCCCTGTGGAGACTCTCTTCTTCTCAGTTCCCAGTTACTTTTAGGAAGTAAGAACAGTCAGATAAGAGCTTGCGTGATAAAGGACTGATCAAGAAAATACTAGGAATAGATGACACACCGAATGTTAACAGTAATTATCTCTGGGTAATATTTTTTTTCTTCACATTTTCCTTTATTTTATAAATTTCTATAATAAACAGCATTTTTTAAGCAAAAAATACACACACACACACATACATACATTTAAAAAAAGTAGTAGCAGAAAGGGTGAAAATTTTTAGAAAGGTGACAGTGGTCCCAGGCAGGTAATGTGAGCAGGACCTGTAAGCACACTATGGGTCCCTGAGGACATGTTGTGAAGGTGGCTGTTTCTTTGACTTAAACTCACCTCAGACTTTGCTGCAGTCAGAGCACTATGAAGACTCCCAGGCCACACGTGGCTCCCTGGAGAGAGGGCTGACCCTAAGGTAAAGATTTCCTCTGGCACTTAGCTGCCACATGGGCAAGTCACTTCTATCTAAATTATTAGTTTCCTCACTTATAAAATGGAGCTAATGATCTCGGGCCCACCTGCCTCAGGGGAGTATAAGGAACAAATGAGATAATCAACAGGAAGACACATCATAAGTAGTGATCATAAGCTGTAGTGAGTTCTGTAAAGTGAAGTATTACAAAGTGAAGTGAGATGGTTTTGATCAGTCAAGGAAGATTATCTTTACAGCACCACGATTACCCTATATTTGTGTTGCTTAAGTGGATTGTTAGCATCTATATAATATGCTCAAGTCAGATCACCCCAGGGGTATGCAATCAAGCCAGCCAAGGTATTGACCCAACCTTGGGCAGAATCTCCACTTGACTATGTGAGTCATTCCCTATTCCAGATGGTCTGGCACTATTTTGTGTATTTGCTTGGTAGGAAAAGGGAATTCATTGTTCTGAAAAGAGAGGCACTGGCCAACATTACCAAAGGCTCTTGGGGTTTTTGCAAAACCTCAACATCCCAAGGCTTCACCTGGATTCCACTCCCATCACTGAAATGAAAATCTACTCTTCAAGGGCCACATCAACCTCCTGATCATAAAGTTCATGTTCTCACCTTCTCTGACTGACTGCCTGCAAATATTTCCAATTTTGGCTGTCTCCTCCTTTTAACACAAACAGAAATAGCTTTGTTCTTTCTGCTTACAAAATAATGCAAGTTCTTGGGGAAAAAATGTACACAATACAGAAGCGTATAAGGAAGAAAAAGTTACCTGAAGGATCGCAACCTTCAGTTAAATTTTGTTTTGCATCTTATTAGACTTTTATATGATCTTTAATAAAAAATAAGATTATCTGTTGTGAAGGAGTTAAATTTGCATTTAACAATATAATGTGGACAGTCCCATGTCCGCAGATTTAGATCTATGATTCCTTCCTCTCTAAAGTACTCCAGGGATTTCTATAGTGTAGCCTGATTGTCCTCCCTGTGTCTTTCATGGACCCATTGGTCTCCCTTTGGCACCTGCATGAAGCCTACCTGCCGTTCCCTTGGCCATCAGCTCTCTGGAAGCCATCAAGTGCCACTTAGGTTGCAGCCTTCCTTAATTGTTTTCAAATTTAATTTATTTAATGTTTATTTTTGAGAAAGACCGAGCACAAGTGGGGGAGGGACAGAGAGGGAGATCCAGCATCTGAAGCAGGCTCCAGGCTCTGAGCTGTCAGCACAGAGCCTGATGCTGGGCTTGAACTCCTAAGCTGTAAGATCATGACCTGAGCTGGAGTAAGACACTTAACCGACTGAGCCACTCAGGCGCCCATATTTTTTAAAAATTTAAATTCAAGTCGGGCGCCTGGGTGGCTCAGTCGGTTAAGCATCCGACTTTCGCTTAGGTCATGATCTTGCGGTTCGTGGGTTCGAGCCCCGCGTCGGGCTCTGTGCTGACTGCCAGCTCGGAGCCTGGAGCCTGTTTCAGAGTCTGTATCTCCCTCTCTCTCTGACCCTCCCCTGCTCATGCTGTCTCTCTCTCTCTCCTAGAAAAAAAAAAAAAATTTAAATTCAAGTTAGTTCCAGTACAGTGTAGTCCTGGTTTCAGGAGTAGAATCCAGTGATTCATCTCTTACATTTGACACCCAGTGCTCCTCCCAAAAAGTGCCCTCCTTTATGCCCATCCCCCATTTAGGCCATAACCCTGCCTACCTCCCCTCCAGCAACCCTCACCTTGTTCTCTGTATTTAAAACTGTTATACTTTGCCTCCCTCTCTCTTTTTGTTTTTCCTCCCCTTCCCCTATGTTTACCTGTTGTGTTTTTTAAATTCCACATATGAGTGAAATTATGGTATTTGATTTTCTCTGACTGACTTATTTTGCTTAGCGTAATACATTCTAGTTTCATCCATGTTGTTGCAAATGGCAGCATTTCATTCTTTTTCATCACTGAGCAGTATTCCTGTGTGTGTGTCTGTAGATGTCTACGTACACACACATGACATCTTCTACACTTGATCTTAGCCAAAAGGCCAAAAAACGATGACATCTTCTTTATCCATTCATCAGTTGATGGACATTTGGGCTCTTTCCATAATTTGGAGATTGTTGATAGCACTGCTTATAAACATTTGGGTGCATGTGCCCTTTTGTATCAGGATTTTTGCATCCTTGGGATAAATTCCTGTTAGTGCAGTTGCTGGGTTGTAAGGTAGTTCTGTTTTTAATTTTTTGAGGAACCTCTATACTGTTTTCCAGAGTGGCTGCACCAGTTTGTATTCCCACCGGCAGTGCAGGAGGGTTCTTCCCTTAAAATAAATTTTTTTTAAAATGTAATGTTATTTTTGAGAAAGAGACAGACAGACACAGCATGAGCAGGGGAGGGGCAGAGAGAGAGAGGGGGAGACAAAGAATCTGAAGCAGGCTCTAGGCTTTGAGCTCTCAGCACAGAGCCTGATGTGGGGCTCAAACCCTTGAACCATGAGATCACAACCTGAGCTGAAGTCAGACACTTAACTGACTGAGCCACCCAGGTGCCCCAAGAGGGCTCCCCTTTCTCTGCATCTTTGCCAACATCTGCTGTTTCCTGGGTTGTTAATTTTAGCTATTTTGACAGGTGTGAGGTAGTATCTCATTGTGGTTCTGATTTTTATTTCCCTGATGATGAGTGATGTTGAGTATCTTTTCATGTGTCTGTTAGCCATCTGGATGTCTTCTTTTGAAAAGTTTCTATTCATGTCTTCTGCCCATTTCTTCACTAGATTATTTGTTTTTTGGATGTTGAGTTTGGTATGTTCCTTACAGATTTTGGATACTAACCCTTTTTCTGATATGTCATTTGCAAATATCTTCTCCCATCCCTTCAGTTGCCTTTTAGTTTTGTTGATTGATTCCTTCACTGTGTAGAAGGTTTTTATCTTGATGCAGTCCCAGTAGTTCATTCTTCTTTTATTTCCCTTGCCTCTGGAGACATGCCAAGTAAGAAGTTGCTGTGGCCAAGGTCAAAGAGGTTGCTGCCTGTTTTCTCCTGTAGGATTTTGATGGGTTTCCTGTCTCACATTTAGGTATTTCATCCATTTTGCATTTATTTTTGTGTGTAGTGTAAGAAAATGGTCCAGTTTCATTCTTCTGCATGTCGCCTTCCAGTTTTCCCAGCACCATTTGTTGAAGAGACCGTCTTTTTTTCCTTTGGATACTCTTCCTGCTTTGTTGAAGATTAGTTGGCCATATATTTGTGGGTCCATTTATGGGTTCTCCATTCTGTTCCATTGATCTTAGTGTCTGTTTTTATGCCAGTACCATACTGTCTTGATGATTACAGCTTTGTAATATACCTTAAGTCTAGAAATGTGATGCCTCCTGCTTTGTTTTTCTTTTTCAACATTACTTTGGCTTTTTTGGGTCTTTCTGGTTTCATACAAATTTTGGGATTTTTTGCTCTAGCTCTGTGAAGAATGCTTTTGTTATTTTGGTAGAGATTGCATTGATATGTGTAAATTACTTTGGGTAGTATTGACATTTTAAGAATATTTGTTCTTCCAGTCCGTGAGCATGGACTGTTCATTTCTTTGTGTCTTCTTCAGTTTCTTTCATATGCTTTCTATAGTTTTCAACATACAGATCTTTTACCTCTTTGGTTAAGTTTATTCCTAGGTATTTTATAGTATTTGATGTAATTGTAAATGAGATTGATTCCTTAATATCTCTGCTGCCTGATTATTGGCATATAGAAATGCAACTGATTTCTGTACACTGATTTTGTAACCTGTGACTTTGCTGAATTCATGTATCAGTTCTAGCAGTCTTTTGGTGGAGTCTTTCTGGTTTTCCACATAGAGTATCATGTCCTCTGAAAAGAGTGAAAGTTTGACTTCTTCCTTAATGATTTATATACTTTGTCTTTCTTTTTGTTGTCTGATTACTGAGGCTAGTAATAGTACTTCCAGTACTATGTTGAACAACAGTGTTAAGAGTGGACATCCCTGTCGCATTCCTGATCTCAGGGGGAAAGCTCTCAGTTCTTCCTCATGGAGGATGATATTAGCTGTAGGCCTTTCATATATGGCTTTTATGATGCTAAGGTATGTTCCTTCTATTCCGACTTTGAGGGTTTTTATGAAGAAAGATGCTGTATTTTGTCAAAAACTTTTTCTGCATCTATTGAAAGGATCATATGATCCTTATCCTTTCTTTTATTAATGCAGTATATTATGTTGATTGATTTGTGGATACCGAACCTGCCCTGCAACCCAGGAATAAATCCCATTTGATCATGGTAAATAATTTGTTTTTCAGTTTTTTTAATGTTTGTTTATTTTTAAGAGAGAGAGGGAGGCAGAGCACAAGTGAGGGAGGGGCAAAGAGAGGAAGAGACACAAAATATGAAGCAGGCTCCAGGCTCCAAACCGTCAGCACAGAGTCCAATGTGGGACCCGAACCCACGAATTGTGAGATCATGACCTGAGCCAAAGTCAGACGCTGAACCAACTGAACCACCCAGGTCCCCCAATAATTCTTTTAATTATTGTTGAATTTGATTTGCTAGTATCTTGTTGAGAATTTTTACATCCAGATTCATCAGGGATATTGGCTTGTACTTCCCCATTTTAGTGGGGTCTTTGTCTGGTTTTGGAATCAAGGTAATGGTGGCTTCATAGAATGAGTTTGGAAGTTTTCCTTCCATTTCTGTTTTTTGGAACAGTTTGAGGAGAATAGGTATTAACTCTTCTTTAAATGTGTGGTAGAATTCCTTTGGGAAGCCATCTGGCCCAGGACTCTTTGTTGGGAGATTTTTGATAACTGATTCAGTTTCTTTGCAGCCTTCCTTTAAAAGGACCGTATCTTGAGGGCAGCAGCAGTGCCTCATTCACCATTATAGTTCTCAGTGGCCAAAGGCCTTGAACCAAATAGGTTGGCAAAAAATAATTGCTGAATTGAGTGAATGAATGAACGACTACTCTCTCCCTGGACTATGTACACACTGGATCAGTCACCAACGTCTGTTGGCTTTCTTCTTTGCTGTCAAATCACAAATGCATGTGGAATTACTTCTGTTTCACCCTGTGTGGTGCACTGCAAGATGGAGGCACACGGTTCCTACCTCAAGGAGGTAACCCTCTGGCTGGCTGAGCAATCAGTTTGTCAGGCCATCATGCTATTGCAGGCCTTTGTCATCTCATACTTGAACTACTGCTGTAACCTACTCCCTTTTGCTTTTCTGCTTTTCCTAATCTGCCCTTATTCTGGTCCTTTCTACTTGCTGGTGCCACATTAAGTACCTTAAAAAACTAGTTTCATGGTGTTGCAATGTCAGACCACTGTAAGGCTCCAAAACAGTTGGTTCCTGGCTGCCATTCCAAACCCAGCTCCCACAGCTTCAGAGCCTCTGTTCTAGCTTTTCTGGCCCTTGGGTCCCATGTGCAGTCCTTGACATGCCAATGCTCATGCCGTCCTTCCTTCCTCCCCAGATTCCTACCTATCCTTTCCAATTAGTGGCCTCTAAGTGGGCAAATTCAATGTTGTGCCTTAGAACACTGTCAGTAACTAAAAGTCATGAGGTTTGGGGGTTCTTTGGGAATAGGTAAAAACAAACAAAAAAACCCCCTATAAATACTAAGAAGAATGTCATGGACATGTGGTGCTGGATTTTTGTACTTGGCACAAATCATTTGCCACTATGTATTTTTATAGTCTTAAGGGCATATATTCAATGTCCCCAGTTACACTGTGAGTTCTCTAGGGGAAAGATCCTTCTTCTGAATTCCTCAAGCACTTAGAACTAGTGCCTCGCAGATAGAATTTAATACATGTTGACTTATAGACCTTATATAGTGGACAAAGGAGTCCACGAGGTCTGCATGGAGTTTCTCCTGAAATAGACTCAAGAGGGGACAGAGTTCATTTTCACAGTGTGTCTGCTTGCTCCCTCCATTCTCTCCCCTTACAATTGATTCTCACTTCACACACTAGCTCCTTCAAATCTCTGTTTAATCACAAATACCCTCCTTTAAAGTGATGTGTTAGGTGTGTGTTTTCTTTCATGTTTATATCAATGGTGCTTATAAAAAAAAAAATTAGACACCAATCCATCATCAGGGGATTGTTAAATTAAGGTTTCTACTATAATGGACCACTGAGCTATAATTTAAAATGATGGAATGCTATGCTTACTGACTTGGAAGGCTGTCTGACATATGTTTGGTTGAAAAAAGCAGGTTAGAAAAGAGCATGAAGAGTATGATTCCAATTAGGTAAAATTTTATAAACATATACATACACACACATTACATATATCACCAAAATGTTAACCATGGTTATTTCCTGGCAGTGGTATTTCTTTGTACTTCTTAGTATTGTTTGATGTGTTTTATAGTGAGCATAGTTTTTAAAAAAAAATTTTAAATGTTTATTTTTGAGAGCGAGACAGAGTGTGAGCAGGGGAGGGGCAGAGAGAGAGACACACACACAGAATCTGAAGCAGACTCCAGGCTCTAAGGTATCAGCACAGAGCCTGACACAGGGCTCGAACCCATAAGCTGTTAGGTCATGACCTGAGCCAAAGTTGGACGCTTAACTGACTGAGCCACCCAGGCGTCCCTAGTGCAGTTTTTATAATGAGAGATAAAAACTATATTCATAATGGTAAACATAAAATGAGGGTTGTCTTTACTTTCATTTGGTAGGACTATTACTAGAGCCTATTGAATTTCACCTCTATTTCTTTCTTTTCAGAAACACAGAAGAAATGTCCATTCCTTTTAAAATCCTCAGTTACTTAACATTCCAGAAATATTGCTCTGAGATTCTTATAGTCAATGAGTTTTATGGACAGAATTTCACTTGTGGTAAGTACTCTATTTTGGCATATAATTTTTTTTTACATACTCCTCTGAGGAAGCAATTCCCTGAGGAAATGTATTTTTTAAAACAAAAGCTATATTTTATAATAAATAGATTTAAAACCTTGTTTTGAAATAAAAGTAACAGTTTCTCTGATTTTTAAAATAAAAGTCAAGTTAGTTACCTGTCAAAGGCCAATAATAGCTTAAGGCCACTCTGATATTTTTAGAAAATGATAGCCCTGGGGCGCCTGGCTGGCTCAGTCAGAAGAGCATGTGACTCTTGATCTCAGGGTTGTAAGTTTAAGCCCCATGCTGGGTGTAGAGATTACTTAAAAAAATAAAATCTTAAAAAAAAAAAAAAAACCTAATGTATGCTGAGGTAAACCCTAGTTATACTCTGGATGGACTCAGTTTCTACACCTACTGAACAGAAGATTTTGTAGCAGATTGTGGTAGCTTCTTTCCTAAAATGTATGTAGTATAGGGCTGAGTAAAGCCAGTTTTGGCAAAAGGCTGTTTTCTGATCCCCTAAGAGGCAGTAGGAACATAACAAGGTCCCTCTGGCCATGGAAATCCCAAGCCACTTTGTGAAGACAGCTCAAGAACAGGGCAGAATTTAGTAGCTGTTTTAGATATTTTTAGGTGGTAATATCAGTAACCTTAGGATATTCAGTACTTGGTGACCATAGAGATGGTGATTTTTATCAGTACTCTGAAAATGGGTTCATACCCAAATGGAAACAAGCCCATTTCCATCTTCAGATGAACCCAGGACCCAGAACACCCACTACTGCTTCATCTAATAGTGAATTCTGGATTCTCTAAAATGTCCTATATCTTTCATGACAAAACGTACTTAGCAGACAGTTGGTAAATACTTGTTGATTAAATTACCTGGGAAGCATCATATCTGACACTGTCAATCTTTTCCTGGCAGGCAGCTCAAATCATTCTGTGACAACTAATCCAATGTGTGTCTTCACTCAAGGAATTCAGTTCATTGAGAGAACCTGCCCGGGTGCAACATCCAGATTCATGACAAACTTTCTGATTTTGTATGCCTTTATCCCAGTTCTTGTCATCCTAGGAATAGTTGTTTTTAAAGTAAGGGATCATCTCATTAGCAGATAGTAAAGAACATTGCTGCAAAAATGGACCTGGAGCCCCCGAGGTGCATGACTACTTGGAACATCAAAGATAAGAAAGCCACATGTTTCTTGATAATACATCTTAAGTCCTTTAACCATTAAAACTCCAATCTGTGCCCCTCAGATTCACACAGGCCTTGAATGATATTCCAACTTGCAGGGACATGTGATATCTAGAGATTGTGACTGAGCTGGTCCAAATATGTAAATAGTAATAATTCATAAAGTTATAGGTGACTAGTGGGACTATTTTTCTTTGTCCTAGATGCAGAAAAGGTCATCAGTTAAAAATATGCTTACAAACAAAAAAAAATATGCTTACATTTGATATCAGATTTGGTAAGAAGAAGATATTTGAATGATCACTGAATGTAAGTAACAGAAAAGAGAACTGTGGGTTTGATAATTGCCATCATGCAGAATTGGGTAGGAATTCTTTCATTATCATTTAAAAGTGCATATTTACGTTTACATATCCACATGAGGGGGCTGAGTTGCTCAACCACATTAAGAGGATGTTAGGCAGACGCTGGATGATGAACACTCCTGATACAGAGCACCTAGTGAATTTTTGAGTGTTAAAATGAAAAACTGTGGGAATGGGCTGAACTGAGAACATTGCATACCAGATAAATCTCTGGTACTGTTTTAAAAGAGGAGTTTGCTATTTTTCCACTTTTCACGTAGTTGAAAAGTGAATGTTACTGATAAAGTGTATGCACTAATGGCTAGAGTTGTTAAAGTCCATACAGAAAAGATGTTCAACTGACACAACATTTGCGTCAAGAGGAACCAGATTACACATGTGGAATTCAGATTCTTGAATTGTAAAGGGAAAGAATGCTGAAAAATACAAATACAGACACTTATCTCACATATTTTTTGGGACAGAGTTATGTATATAGATGATTGAAAATGGGTTCTGTACTAAATGACTGATTATCTTTCTGATTGATCATCAAGTAGTTCATGTACAAGTATGAAAAGACACTGTCTCAATGTTACCATGGTAACTCCAAGGGAGAACATCTTAGTGAGTACATGAACTTATTCAGTTGCTGTGACCTAACTTGTAAAGAATGATAAATTATAGCATTTGAAATGTCTCACATTATAGTAGAAGAGATCATTTCATTAAAGGAACCATAGTAAAATCCTGTTTCTTAGAACAGTATTTAAGGATCTGGAGACATTGGCAAATTACCAGAATAGTATCGTCAATTTTTATAAAAGGTCTTTGACACTGATGATTATGGTATAATAGTTACATAATGCCTTACAGATTATATATGTCACATCAGTTATAGACAATTCTGGAGATGATAATCTATTAAAGTAGTTCAAAGAGAGTCCCACAGGAACCTCTTTTGAAATCGCTGATTTCAACTTACTAAAGATATGGGTGTGCACTGTAAGTGGAAACATTTCTACTATTCATATGCAGATGAATTTCATTATAGCTCAGAAACATGTGGAAAATTGACATAGCATGTGACTTCAAGCTATTAAATGTTAGTGATACCATTTTAGAAAAACACAATGACTTTCAACATGCGACAGTCTGTGTCTCAAGTCAAAAATGGACAGTGATGTGTAAGACAAATTATATAATAGAAATTTCTGTTACTACTGTGGAATAGGCTGTTTCTTCCTACCAAGTCAGTGATGTTTCTGAGATTATAATGTTTGCTATTAATTTAAAGGGAGCTCTTTCTCCACAGTACTCAGGCAAGGTGCCTGTCTACGAAGAGCCTCAGTCTTAGGAGCAAACATGCTGAAAATCCTGTTGTTAAGAGTGCTGGACCCACATGCACTGCAACTAGTTGATGAAGTCTTACTTCCCTGCAGTGATCAGGTATTTTGCTATTCGCTCAGATACCATTCATCAATTTTGGTGTTCTTGGGGTTATGTGCTTATTTGAAGCTGGGTATGGTGTATTAGAGCGAACATATTTTATAATGAAAATGGAAGAACACAGAGTTGAATGACTTTCCTGATTAATGACAGCAATTATGCTCCAAATTGAACTAGGCTAGCAGGCACACACATGCATAAGCTCAAGAAGCCGCCTTTTTTAAAAAAAATTTTAAAAATATTTTATTTATTTCTGAGAGAGAGAGGGAGGCACAGAATCTGAAACAGGCTCCAATCTAGCTGTCAGCACAGAGCCTGACGCAGGGCTTGAACCCACGAACTGTGAGATCCTGAGCCGAAGTCGGACGCTTAACCGACTGAGCCACCCAGCTGCCCCTTGAGAAGGCTTCTTAAAGGCTATTTCACCTTGGAAATGATCTCGGTTATTACTACTTCATGAAATTTTGGCCTGCTTACTAATAACATCTTCCCTTAAATTTACCTATTCTTCAAAAAGCTATAAGAAGTATGTCAGAATCATTGGATGTGCTGATTAAACATGCAGATTACTGGACCCCATTCCAGACCCACTGATTCAGGACCTCTGGGTGTGGGGACTCAAAAATAAATAAATAAAATGCACATTCTTAAGTTTATTTATTTTGAGAGACAGAGTGAGCAGGCAGGGGCATGGAGAGAATCCCAAGCTGGGTCCACACTGTCAACACACAGCCTGATGCGGGGCTCAGTCCCACGGGATCATGACCTGAGCCGAGATCAAGAGCCAGACATTAACAGATTGAGCCACCCAGGAGCTCCAGGAATGTGCATTTTAAACAGGTACTTCAGGGGGCCCTGGGTGGCTCAGTCAGTTGAGACTCTTGATTTGGGATTGGGTCGTGATCCCAGGATTGTGGGATTGAGCTCCACATTGGGCTCCATGTGGAGTTTGCTTGGGATTCTCTCTTTCTCTCCCTCTCTCTCTCCCTCCTCCCACCCCCTTGCTCATGCTCACTCGTTTGGGCACTCTCTCTCAGAAAAGAAAAAAGTTTAGGTACTTCAGGTGCTTCTTCTGCCTGTGTTTCAGAGTTAAGTGATGTGACGCTGATTGTGGTTTCCTAGCAGACATACCCGAGAGCTCCTCCAAGAGGGAATGTGTCTAACATAAATGCATAACCTCACACTTGTAACTGTTACTAAATGCTCTTGCTTTCATAGTCCTTACACCATATAAGCAGAATCCTATAAATGATGAACTGAGTATATACTAGATAAACATACTAGAGGCAGGCAGTAGGAGATTTTTTATTTAAAAAAAATACTGCATGTAATTACACAACTTCTCCCCCTTTTAAAAGACTTAAAAGTATCCAGGGAATTGCACTAATACAGGAAATTCCACTTTTCATTTAACAAATTAGACATCTTAACTTCACTTATTATCATAATAGCTAATTAAGAAACTTACTTGTATTGGGGAAAGAAGAAATAAATACACTGTGGTTGAATTAGGTTCAAGAATCAAGCTCAATTTGTTTCCAAGACTTGGAAGAACTTCTTTTGTATTGTTCCAGTTCCTAAAACAAAAATATGCATTACTTGAAGAGAAAAGTTTTAAAAATTAAAATAAGCACCTTAAAGCTGCCTTGGCATTTTTTAGGTATGACAGTGTATCCTTTATGGTATTATCATTCTCAAAATTTCTGGACAGTTATTCTGTAAATTCTTACAATTAGGATCTTCTAGAAATGTAGTCTTCAGACTTTTTGTAGTCTAAGCAATACTTTAGAGACGTACTTCTTAAAGACAAAATTACATACTATATGTACATACAGATTGTCTTTCAACTATTAAAATAAATGCATTTGTCATACTTTAAGTATTTAAAAGTGATCTTGTTTCCTATTTGACTATTGTCAAAACTGGGTTGAAGTTAGAGTATTTAAAAAATTAATATCCTCTGACACAGTGCTTCTACCTTTCAAAATGTGTCTCACAGAATGAGAGAAGAGTGCAAGGATATAAACAGAAGGATATTTATGGCACTGTGTATACTGGTTCACACGTGCGAAGAGTTTTCGCAGTAAGGACAGTAAAGATGTCCGTGCTCATTTGCACATGGCTTCATGGGCATCCAGCAAAAATAAGCGCAGTCCTATGTGCCACATGAAGGAAGTGGATAGGTGGAGAGGGAGTAGGATGCTTCCACTTTCTAGGTTACATACTTCAATATCTTTTGAGGGTCTCTTTATCCCACAACAAGCATATGTTACTTTTACAGTTCATAAAATAAATTCTAGTATGGGTGGACACCCAGCATGAGATGACTGATCTGCAAAGGGATCATCCCTTAGGGGACTGCCTCCTGGCCTCTTACCTGTTGTTCCGTGTCTCAGTAATGGCACAAAATAGATTATTTCAGACAAGCAGAAAGTGGTTACTCTGCAAAATAAGGCAGCCACTGCCCTTTGGCTAACATAATTGAAATTCACAGTTGCTGTGAAAAGAAAATCCATTCTCATTTTCAGAAAAATTGCAGATTGTCTCTTCCATACCTGTACTCAAAGTTGTTTCAGAGTTTTTATATCGTAACTCCAAAGTAGTCTTTTCAGCTTGGTTTATTTTTTTTAAAGGAAATTAATTTGGTTCACCAGTTATCAAAGATTGTTCAAACATGTTTCACTTATAAGGAATAAACAGTAATTAGTTATCTTGTTTTTAACTGGAAGCACTGACTTATTTTTATCAATGATAATGGTGAGGACATTAAGATTCTTTGCTAGAGATACCTCCCTTCTGCAGACAGCGGACTGAGAGAAGAAAGAACAGGGCTGGTCACACAGGTCATGTTGGGGAAAATAAAGAATGACCAGTGTGACATAAATCTCACCATGTCCACAAGACTTTCAGTACTGCTGTCATAGAAATTCAAAATAATATGAGGATGCTTTAACGGAAGAGCGAGTAAGATCTTCCTTACACTGCAATTCTTCATGGCTGCTTTAGCAAGCCATTTTAAATGTGAACATAAAACAGAAAGGTTTTCACCTTGCCTCTTAACCTCTAAAGTTTTAGGGGCTGCTGGGTGACTCAGTCTCTTGAACATCCAACTTTAGTTTCGGTCATGATCTCATGGTTCATGGGTTCGAGCCCCACATCAGGCTCTGTGCTGACAGCTCACCGCCTGGAGCCTGCTTCGGATTTTGTGTCTCCCTCTCTCTCTCTCTACTCCTCCCCTGCTCACTCTCTCTCTCAAAAATAAATGTTAAAAAAAATTTTTTTAAAAAGAACCTCTGAAGTTTTCAACCATAAGTGGACCACAGCCTTAAAATGCTTAAAACAGCATCTTCAGGGGCGTCTAGGTGGCTCAGTTGATTAAATGCCGACTTTGGCTCAGGTCATGATCTTGTGGTTTGTGAGTTGAAGCCGCGTGTCAGGCTCTGTGCTGACAGCTGGGAGCCTGGAGCCTGCTTCGGATTCTGTCTCTCCCTCTCTATCTCTCTCTCTCTCAAAAATAAACATTAAAAATTAAAAAAAAAAAGCAACTCAGCATCTTCAATAAAGGATAATAAGAACATTTTCCCCTAAGCATGTAAATCGGTGTGTGTTGTGTGTTTAAATCATAGGCCTAGGGATTATAAACAAGTTGATTTTTGAAAATGGATTCAAAATAGTGTGGTTGGCCAAGGAGACTTAAAAATATTGTTTACCAAAAACTTTTCCTTGTTTTTTTCTTTGCTTTGACAATAAAGAGGTAGAAGCATTCAGCAAGTGCTTTCTATACTGATGTCCCCTTAAAATCAGGAATGCTTTAAAACTAGAGGCCCTTCTAAATTGTGGAAGCAAGCCAAGTGTCCATGGATAGATGAATGGATAAAGAAGATGTGGTAC